TAACACTGATTTTCTCAGGTGTTCAAATACTTATGTTCAGCAGTGCAAGACAAATAAATTCTTTAAAAATCATACAATGTGATTTCCTGAATTTTTTTTTTAATTCTGTCTCTCAGAGTGGGAATGCACCTACAATGTGAATGTCAGACCCCTCCATGATTTCTAAGTGGGAGAACTTGCAAAATCGCAGGGTGTTCAAATACTTCTGTTCCTCACTGTATAGCACCTTTTCACCTGCCTGAGCCAGTCGGTCCTCAACTCAGCTGCCTGGTTTTTGTCCAGAACTAGGTGACGTGATCACATCACTCCTGTTTTCGCTTCTCAGTATGTTTTAGAATCATTTTAAAATTTTTACAGACTATTTTTAAGGCCCTGCATGGCCTCCCCCCATCTCTGACTTCTCAGTGCCGTACATGCCTGTGTGCACGTTGAGATCCTTGGACAAAGGTGGCTGAAAACTAAAGGGGACAGGGTGTTTGTGGTCAGGGCCCTGGACAAAGGTGGCTGAAAACTAAAGGGGTCAGGGCCCCAAAACTCTGGAACACTCTGGCCAAGGAAATCAAGTCAGCCAAGTCCGTAACAGCTTTTAAATGCCTTCTTAAAGCATCTTTTAAAGCAACTTTTATCAGAGAGCCTTTCCTGATTGTATGTTTAAGCTTAAACAGATTTTAGTTTGCTGCCTTGTAAAACAGATTTGGAAAAGTGCTCTGTAAATAAAGAATATTATTATGATGTTCAGCAAAGACTAACTGTGAAACTCTGGGTGTTTACATCAGGTACTTCAGTGTGAAAGTGTTCATCCCTGAGGACGCACTCGTCTATTTTTCAGTGCAGGTGAATCTTTTCTAAAAGTCATAATGAATTAATGGTGCTTGTTTGTCCAGCTGTATCTTCGTGTGGCGTCTCAGTCCAGAGTTGACCATCAGGATGAGGCAGCGACTCTCTGACCTCCGATCTCCCAGCAGCAACCACAGCTCCCAGAATGCACTGCAGCAGCGAGCGGCAGAGCTCAAGTAAGCGTTCACTTTGTTTCACAGCTGCTGTTGAGGCCTGACACACAAATGCTAATTTAAATACTATATAAAAACTGTTATATTAAGTTTTAGTGTGATGAAATGAAAAATTAACCTTTATAAACAAACTCCAATGATTTATCTTACAACTTTTGTCAACAATTAAAAACTTAATGTGGTGTAGTCTTGTTATAACAGGCCAACCAAATGTAATGTATGTAAATTTACTGTATATTTATTTTGTAGTATATAGCCTTAAGATCATTAAAATACATGGAAAACATCTAAATGAAAACCCAGCACTAAGAATTGACTGTGCCTGTTTAATTATATCTACCAGCCTTGGTAGAACAGTGTCAGTGGTTGGACAACTGAGCGGACCTGGCTCCCAGAGGCGAGTGCCACAACAGGCCAGCTGGACCAGCCACTGCTCAACCTGAGCAAATACAATGCAGACGCTGTGTTAAGCCACATATTTGCTCTTTGCTTGGGTGAGGAAAGGGTTCAAGGATGCTTTGTGTTAAGGGCAGGTTAGGTCTGGAAGATGGGGTTACTGTGAAGATTTATGACGGCCGTGCCTGAAACCCTGTATAACCCTAACCCTGACCCATGACACAGACTATTTTACATTGCTGTAGCGGTTCTCTAGCAGGACACACACTTAACTGATGACTGTATCTTCAAGTGCTCACAAAAACATAACATTATGAATTTCAACCAGATTATGCAAATACTCTTCTTCTTCTCTTGGAGAAAAATGTGCTGCAGCGTTGTTCCAGTGCGCTCCCGCAGCGCTACACCTATGAAGTCAAACTGTCAGTCTGATAAAGCATCAATGCAAAAGCTTCACAAAAATAAAATGTAATTTTTTAAAATGGAGTTAAATTATTTATAATTAAAACTGAATCACATAAGCTAATGCTTTTTTACACTTGGTATGTACTTTGTGTAAATTTCTTGGTATCTGTACACTGTGCAATACAATGAAATAATACAGAAATTCCTTGTTGTGGTTTGGGATCAGTGTAGTTTTATTTTCATGAACTCAAACAGTTGAGTAAAATACAACTGAAACTAAATACACTCTGTTTATGGCTGTCCGTGCAGCAGGGAGGCGTCGGTTCCTCCTGGCGTTGTCATGTCATCTGACAGCAAGGAAGAGGAGGAGAAGCTCAACTGTCCCTACATGGTTGCAGCAGGAAGCCCGAGTAAGGACACAGGTCTGATCCCATGGTTGCACAACATCAAACACAGAGACAGTGATGGTCTTTAACAGCTGGAATAAAGTAAAATATGTCTTCAGAGGACCCGAGTACAGTGTAGTCTGTCAGGAACCATTAACCGATTTTTACTGAGAAATAGGAGGCTTTAAGTAGACTTTGGTTTAAATCCATGGAAGTCTGTCTTAGTAGCTTTAAGAGCAAGTGTGTATTTGTGATGTGTGTCTGACTCAAAGGAATGGATGAGCAGCTGATACAAATGAAATGTGCCCTGTTGTTTCTTTGACATCATGCAGATGTGTGTGAGGACAAGTACAACTCTGTGGACTCTCAGCACTGCAGAGATAACAGGATGGTCAGTGGATTCAGTTTTATCACAGACACACCATGAGTTTTCTCACTGAATCAAAAACAGAATTTTTATTACTGATCACTCTGCAGTTAATTATTGCAGTGAGGTTTATTTTAGTTCTGTTTTCATGTGAATTGGAATAGTTGAAAAAGAATCATGTCACTGGAGTCACGGAGTGTACAGCTCAGGATGTTTGTCTCGGACTCCTCAGGGGGCATCGGGGGTTCGAATCCCCCGCCGTCGCTGGTCCAGGAGGACAGGCAGCGCTGATGGTGTCCTGATGGTGAAGTCCATGTTGGATCTGAGATTGCTGGAGTCATACAGACCGGAGGAGCAGGATGAGGTCAGGATACTACAAACAAACTAAAGTCCATTCAACAAATTCTCCCTGTTTCCACATGATGTGAACAAGGTGTTGTTACCCCACTGATAGGTGAAGAGCCACCCCACTGATGTTGGTGCCTCCCCATGCAGCCCAGGGAGGAGGGGTCAGGGCTTAGAGGCGGTGCTTCATAGAACCAATCAGGAGCTGGGGAGTTCCATCAGTCTGCAGTCTGCTACATGGGTGAGAACACATTGTGTTTTGGTTTGGTTCACTTACTAGGCTTTTCCAGAGCTTTTATCTGTGTCTCAGCGGCTTCTTCAGTCGGTGGAACCTCACATGGCTACACATTCAGGACAGTCCACCAACTGAAAGAGACCATGAGATGTGGTTGAAAGCTCCCGAAAAAGCCAATGAGGTTTTTTCAAGGTGTGGAATGAGCCTTCAGATTCTGCCTGTCCAGGTGGCCGATGATGCGAGGACCAATCAGAACTCAGATGGGGAGGCTCCAGTGCTGTATCCCGACCAATGGGAGGACAGAGTGAGTCTGGCAGGCAGGTAGGGCGGTTTCCTTCCTGGTGTCAGGATTTATTAAAACCGGGTGGGGTATCTGCCAACCTGTCATGCCCCTATTAACCATGCACCCCCCTGTCAGTGAGTTCCAGGTGAAGGAGGCGTGTCCTGTTGCTGCAGGTGGACAACAGGACAAACCCAGTCCAGACAGTGGCTGCTCACTGGGACTCACCTGCAGCATATCCAGTCCAGACAGACCGGCAGGAGATGGTGAGACAGAGAGAGATGCAAAGACACAGGCAGGAACAAATACCTGCGGGACACAGAGACAGCACTTAAACAGATCTGGAGACTGATGTTCATGTGTCCACTGTGGACATGATGCTGTTAGTCCACGTAAAAGATGTGCACTGACTGTAGTTTGTCTGGTTTTCTGTCTGAACTGTCCTCTCAGACTCGGAGCCCACCGAGCCTCTCAGCATGGATGGAAACTCCTCTGAGCTGGATATGGAAGAGGAGGAGGAGGAGGGAGGAAGAGAAGGTGGAGACGGGGAAGTCGGGGTGTCCCAGATGATCCCTCAGACTCCAGACCAGGAAGCTTTCCTGAAGGAGCACTTTGTCACGCTGGCTGACCTCTCAACCTCAGGTACAGCTCCAGGCTGAAACACACCATCACCACAACTACACCACTGTATAACTGTAAACCTGTGCCTCTGGCGTGTTCACCTAACTGATGCATGTGTCAACAGGGAGTCCGAGCAGAGCGTCGCACAGCTCCAGTGAGAGTCTCAGCATCTCCTCCAGGTTCCTCTCCCAGAATTCAGCTGGAAGGTAAAACATCCAGTCGCTTCACTGCCTGAGCACCGTGGACTGATCATCTCTCACTGATTGGCACATTCAATATCCTGATCAGAAGCAACAATAAGACTGTTTATGAAAAGTGCATCATGTCCAGGTCACTGTGCTCATGTCATGTCCGAGTCATCGTAGTTTCAGCAGTCTTCTCCTCTCCTCCTCAGCCAGGCTGTGCTTCCTCTCCCGTCTCGCACCTGTGGGGGAGGAGGAGGGGAGGTGAAGACCCATCGTCTTGTCTCTGAGGTGCGACCCTTGATGGAGCAGAATCAGAACAAGGACAGGAGGGTGTCATGGGGCCAGGACCAAACCCAGGACACCCTCCATTACCAGAACAGGACCAAGCAGGAACAAACAAGGTCTCCTCCAGACTTGACACCGACCCAGCAGGGTACAGATCTGCTCCAGACCGAGGTGGAGAAAGAGGAGTACTCCTCAGCCGAGCATGCTCACCAATCCTCCCCACTGAAGAAGAAGCTCCAAATTGAAGTGGAATCCAAGAGGAATCAGAGTCTGACGGCCTGGTCCGCCACCTCCTCTCACCTGAACTCCTCGTCTGGACTTCGGAAAGCTCAGTCTGTCCACAGCCTGCTGAGCGACACAGGTACCACTGGAGCCAAGACTTCATTTGTCCTTAAAGTTCCACTCCAGATTTATGTTAAAGATTTGCATATAAAACTACTCTGCTATAAACAATATATTCTAACAGCTTTTCCTTAAAAAACGTTCAGTGATTCTCTGTAATCGGCCTCAACATTTGCCCGCCATTGTGCATTCCATGATCGACTGTTCAAATATATGCAAATGTGGCCACAGTTGATAAATTGATCTAGTAGATAACTGCAGCACTCGGGCTGCTACCAGAAGCCAAGACCATAGTCAACATTAACAATGGTACAAGTCTCACATCATCTCAGTGTTGAGCTCCTTTTCCCATCACCTGGTGCTGGCTCAACTCAACTCGCTTGTGGTACCGGGTGCGTGGTTTTTCCACTGCAGATGGTCCCCTCTCAGTGTAGCTGGTTGTCATAGCAATACCACATTACATTGCCGTGATGCTCTCAGTGTAGCTGGTTGTCATAGCAATACCACATTACATTGTCGTGATGTCATCAAGTCAAGTCAAGATTTTTATTTGCCATTTATGCATAAACAGACAGTCTAGGCATATAGGAATTTTTGTGTCTAGTAAGGGGTTATTGCACATATATTCTCACATTTCCGTATTTGCCATCAATCTTACTGCAGCAGGGAAAAAGCTGTTGTAAAGTCTTGTTCTGTGTGTGATGATACTGTTCGCTCTGTTGTGCCTGAGGCTGTACGTGCAGTTTTTGTGTCTGACCAGAGTGTGAGCTGGGTGGCGTGGATCCCTGAGTATGTTTTCCGCCCTTTTACGACAGCGCTGTGTGTATAGTGTGTCCATAGCAGGCAGTTCAGTCCCAGTGATCCTCTCTTCAGTCTTTATGACCCAGAGCCTTCCTCTCTGCCTGTGTGGTGTTACCATACCAGACTGTGATGCCAGTGGTGAGGATGCTCTCTACCAGTCCTCTGTAAGCCTGGGTGAGAGGGCAACGGTTCAGCCCAGCTTTTCTGAGCCGACTGATGAAGTATAGCCCCTGCTGGGCTTTCTTCACTGTGGCAGCTGTGTTCAGTGACCAGCTCAAGTCAGATGTCACCTGCAGGCCCAGGAACTTGTGGCTGTCAGCCCTCTCCACCTCACTCCCTTTGACGGTCAGAGGCAGCAGAGGGGAGGGGTTATTCCTAAAGTCTATTATTTCTTGTCTTGTTTATGTTGAGGTCATTTTTTCCATAAACAAGAATGTCGTTCACCAAGCTTCTGTAACCCAACTCGTCTCCCCCCTTGATGAGGTTGTGAAATGTGAAGGACAATGCTGGCTAACACCCCTTTGGGCTGGCTGTGTAGCCCCAGGGGGTGTTGGCTTTCAAGGAGAGCACAGAGATGTAAATGTCTGAAGCGGAGCCATTCCTGTCTCCAGTTTCGGGAGACAACACCCTGAGATGTACTTCAAAAACAGGAAACATCTTGACCAACCTTATATAAGCTCATTGTTCAGCTCACATGAACTTAATGAACCCATAACCACTCAGCTCTCCCTTACACAACTAGTACAAATAATATCTATATATGAAGTACATACTGTTCCATCTGGAACCTTGTTTATTTTTAACCACTACACTCCCTCCTTCCATAGGTTTATACTATGGGACTTCGGAGCTCAAAATCTGAAAAATCAAAATATGACCATGTTGGCCTGAGACTTTAACGCCTCTAAACTCTAACAGTTGTAGTTAAACATTAACCTCTTCCTGCATCTAAAGTTAAATCTAAAATAATTCCTTACTACAGAACTAACCACTCCTCAATAAACCTTTAACCTTAACAGAGTATTTCTTACATACTCTAATGAAACATAACTTAAACAACTCAGTCAGTCAAGTCTCTAGCTTCTCACACCTTTGCAAAGTTAGTAGTGATTAACTATGGTGGATAAATTAACTGTATAAAATGACAGAGCTTCCCATTCATAACAGTCAGACAAATGAACAAACATGAACATAAAAGTAAACAACAATAAACAAAAATAAACAACCAGCATGAGGTGACTGTTCCCCTTGGAAGATAAAAGTTCATGACAGAAACATTCATAGACACATATATCTGAATACATCACTTCCTAATCAAATACTAATAATTCCTAATACTAATCAATGAACCCAAGTAACACTACAAATCACTAATTAAACCTCATCCAAAAGGAAAATAGAGATCAACTTTTAATTTTAAAGACAAACTTTTGATCTAACAGAACAATTCTACACTAAACAATTTCCCTATACTCTAAAAAACATGCTCGTATGCACTATAAGTACTGCTTTAGCATGACAGAACTCTCTACTTTCTGATTTCTAAGTTCTAATTTGCAAATTTCCTAATACTTTCCAATTGAACGTATAACACACTGAAAATAAACAGTCATAGAAAAGAACGAATAACTGACCAGGTGATCCTCTTTCCCCCACATAACACCACAGTTTCAATTACACACACGTCTGTACTGTTAAACAAACAGCTTCAATTCTGCTACAATTCTGCTCACTCCAAATCCAGACAAAAACCCTGACGGGCAAAATTTCTGGATGACCCCCATCCTTTCCTTTTGAGATGTAAAAACCCCCAATGATAACTAATGCTGGGGAAAACCGTCTTCTTTTTGGGTGATCACCAACAAGGCCTGCAGTGAACCTGATTGCAGGAACCGGACATAGTGTAAATCCCGAAACTGAATCCTAAATATAACATAACTGTAACACAAACATTTGTAATGTAGCTAAACTACTTGTATAAAAGCTCTAGCCAAAAATCTTCTGCCAAGAGATGAGCTGGGAATATGAAAATACTCAGTGACACTCAAGCAGTGAACATATAAATGACAAGGTACTAATAACTGCTATGCATGAATTGTGTACAGTATGAATATATAAAAATATAATGTCCAAGTCCATTGTCCTTTGATCAGTTCAGTTCCTTGCAGTTTCACTCTGTCACCACCTGCTTTCTTCCATCCTCGCCGGCTGCAATGTCTCTCTCTCGACTTCTCTATGCATGACTGACCTCAGTACCTCTGACTTGCACTCCCTCCTCATGAGGGTCAGATAGATGAGAACACAACTGGGTCATAATCAGTATTGTCATCAAGGGGAGCATCAGCTTCACTCGAACTCCCTCCTCATCCAAGGAGTCCCTTGGATCACATCTTCTTATCGAATCAGGATCAGCTCCAAGCCATTTCTGTCCTTGAGGACTTTCACACCATGTACAGGCCTCCTTCATAAAGAGGGTCTCTCCTCCTCCGAGGCACCATCACGTACACGATATCTCCTGCTCTCACTTTGGACTCTCCATCCTTT